TTCACCGATTGAAGAAGACACCAGAATTCCAGTCTGGGGAATTTCATCCCGAAGCCTAAGAAGGGATAAACCAGCGCCTAACACGCGTTGCCGGTTTAGTCTTTCACCGATTGAAGAAGACACCAGAATTCTAGTCTGGGGAATTTTATCCCGAAGCCTAAGAAGGGATAAGCCAGCGCCTAACACGCGTTGCCGGTTTAGTCTTTTACCGATTGAAGAAGACACCAGAATCCGAGTCTGGGGAATTTTATCCCGAAGCCTAAGAAGGGATGAGTCAACGCCTAACACGCGTTGCCGGTTTAGTCTTTTACCGATTGAAGAAGACACCAGAATCCGAGTCTGGGGAATTTTATCCCGAAGCCTAAGTAGGGATAAGTCAACGCCTAACACGCGTTGCCGGTTTAGTCTTTTACCGATTGAAGAAGACACCAGAATTCCAGTCTGGGGAATCTCATCCCGAAGCCTAAGAAGGGATGAGTCAACACCTAACACGTGTTGCCGGGTAGCCTATTCCTGTAACAAGGGCAAAGCCTATGTATTCGAAATCATAGCACAAAGTCTTAGAGAATTCACTCTCTCAGCACAACGTTACATGCGGAACGGATTTAGACAATCCGCATGCTAGCCCGATTCAAACGGTGATCGGTAAAGGCACATCAAACCCGTTGAAGGCTGGGGGTTTGCCAAAAATTCCAAAGTCTATGTCTAACACACATGGCCGGTTTAATCTTTCGCCGATTGAAAAAAGACACCAGGGTCTAAACCTGGGGAATTTTATCCCGAAGCCTACGAAGGGATAAGTTATCGCCTAATACGCGGTGCAGGGTGCCTTTTCCCTATAAGAAATGGTTAAGTCTATGTATTCAAAATCATAGCATCAAGTCTAAGAAAAGCGATTTTCTTAGCACAACGTTACATGTGAGACGGGTTTAATAATTCACATGCTAGTCCGATTTCAAACGGTAATCGGTAAAGACATTTCAAACCCGTTGATGGCTGGGGGTTTGCCAAAAATCCCATAAACCTTGTCATTCAGAATAAATACAGAAAGATCACAAAAGAAGCAAATGCGGAGTCTCTATTAATAGATCGAGTCAAAAGCATACAATAAAAAGCTCGTTAGCCCGAAGGCAGTTGGCGGTCGAGGATATGAGACTTTAAACTAAAAAGTCTATCTACATAACTCCGCTCGAGTTCTGCCTGCAGATCAGCTCGAGCAGATTCTTCAGAACTGCTTAAAATCTCCGCGGCTTCACTCTTCAGCTTCATCAGTCTCTCCTGGGTGGATCCTAGCTTCTCGAGTGCCTGCTCACGAGAACGCTCTAGACCAGCCAGGTCATCTGCAATAAGAGCAGCAGATTCCTCGGCGCACTTCAAGGCCTCTTTCAACCTAGTCACTTCCTCGCGGCTCGAGTCCAAAGAGCGGAGTAACTCAGCTCTATCCGTATCTTTCCTCGCCACATTAGCCATTAGCTGCGCAATGGAGCTCTCATGTGACTGAAGCTCGCATCCGATGGAAGATCTCAGGTCACGCCACTGTGCCAGCCTATGCTCCAGCTGAGAGGACACGAAAGAAGAAGCCCCATAAACTATCAGTCCCAGAAACTGTAGTGGCATCAGGCACAACGGCTGGTCCTATAGTTGCACTTCTTTATTAGTCAAAATAAAAATTTAGACGAATAAGGAGGATCGGGATGATAAGGTCATCTGCATACCTGTAGGTCCATCATCCGTAGGTATCTGGGGAATGCCAGGAATCATAAGAGAATCAGTCCCGGTGGCTGGTCCTATGATTGCACCAATATATTAGTCAAAAGTCAGATAAATAAAGAGGAGTACGATGTCCCTAAATCGCATGCGTACCTGCAAGTCCGTCACTCCGAGGTAAGCTAGATATGCCGGGAATCGATATTGGGTTAATCCCAATGACTGGCGCTGTAATATTAATCCTTCGTTAGTCAGACAAATGATCAGGCAAGATGAAGGGAATCAGATATATACCTGTGAATGAATAACTTTCAAAGGGTGGTCCCACGGTTCTTCTGGTGGCCTGCTCAGCCAACATATCGGCTAATAATCCAGCGTCGGGTTTCGAGAAACTTGGTACAGGAGCACACCCATGTTCCTCGAAACCTACATCATGATAGGCTCCATCCTCAACTGGCTTTTCCATCGCGACATCTGCAGGATAACCTAAATGTTGGAAGATGAGGAAGAAAGGAAAGCTCAGAAATACCTGCAGCAAAAACAGAAGATTCTCTTTCCCCATGCTTGAGGAGGGTATCATTAGATGTAGATATACCTGAATATGGGACGGTGGGCTCAACACTATTCACCTACTCAAGATCAATGTTTAGATCGATGCCCAGAGAACCGTCATGAAGGGCGTCGCACATCTGCTACATGAAACAGTCCATGTTATCAGATCCAGGAGATACCGGACTCGGTGGAAGTTCGCCCTCTTCAAAGAA